AAGCTAAAACACTGTGCTCTCCTTCCTTACTTTGCTATTTTGTTTGGTACAAATCTTAAAAATTAATTGGAGATCAGTATTATTTCTTGAGCTTGTTTCCTTTTTTTTTTTTGTATCTTTCTTGCCAAGATAATTTGTGCAGATCATCCCATGCCAAATAGCAGGTACATAAAATAAATGGAGATATTTGTAGACAACACGTTGGCAAAGGATTGAAAGTGCTATTCTTCAAAAAAACTGAGTACTTTCATGTACGGTTTGAACTGTACTAATGCAATTGCTTCTGCATTACTTTGCATATAGGCTCTTAGGACATTTTCATTTATTAGGCCATAGCTCTGCCGTACACTTCTGTCTGCTGCTTTTTCACTACTCTTTAAAAGATTTTGGCTCTAGCCCTGGCTGCAATGCATGAGTTTAATTAAAATCTGCAGATGTTTTCCACAGACTATGTAGAGTGGGATTTACGTTTCGTCAATGAATGTACATTGGCTCTTGCTTGAATGTATGCATGTACACTTCGAATACATGGGCAATAAATAGATCCTCTCTCAAGAAACAAGAACAAAACACGGCAGCACCTACTCTCTACGGCGTTGAGAAACAAGGCTTTGACACAAGGGCTACCCCAGACCCAGGAGCTGTCGCTTGTGCGGAAGATGCAGAGATAAGGAGGAAGCTGCAACATAAACACAGAGAAAAGGCTCTCTTTTCGTTCCAGTCTAATTTGCCAGAGCACGATCTTTCGCCCACGTGCTGAAAGCAGGGATGCGTCCTCTCTCAACCTGCAAACCAGCTCGCTGAAAAATTGTCAGCTGCCTGCAGAGCAGGCACACCTTGCGCTTAGTCCCGGGCAGGTGATGTTTTAATCACGGCCGCGGTGGTGAAAGGGCTGGGAGGGCTCACCTTTCACGCACCGACCTAAACGAACACAACATAATGTCTCTGCTGCAACCCAAGCCGGTTCCTGCTTCGGCATTCCCGGCACACGCTCGGCTCGCTGCACGCTCTCAAACACAACTTGTCTACACGCTCCTGTGTCGTTTCACATCGCTGAGCTTGGCCTTTTAGAAACCGCAGGATAATGCTCCCCCATCATCCCAGCAAACTACAATTTTGTGTTTACCAAAAAACAGGAAAAGGAATGAAATGCATTTCAAAAACCCTCTTAATTATTGATACGTATAAAAATTGTCCTCTTGTGTTCTGAAAACTGGTGTAAAATGTCACAGCTAGAGAGTTTCTTTCCAGTAAGTTATTCTCAGTAAATTTGGTCTGCTCGTTGCACGCATACACATATAGATATCTCAGATCTGTCTTTATATACGCTTTCTCCTCATGAAAAGCATTCTGACTACTTAACAGGCATGTGGGATCCTGCATAAATTATGCTGATTCTATGTGATTCAAACTATAAAATATAAAATTACATTGCATTTTCAATAAGCGTATACACAAACCATGTGGAACGTGAAAGGTCAGACTGGAAATTCCTCATTCTCACTTGTGAATAACTTTTTTTCATCCAACAGCACCATTGATTTTAACTGGGCTGAGTAAGAGATCTCATGTAAGACCATCATGTGGCCTTCTTTTAAGATCACTTCAGGGGGGTTCAGCCTTGCAATCTGATCTGTGCACAGACAGATGCGTACTTAACTGATGTCAGTGGGCTGTTTTTTTGGCTTGGGAAGGCATTTCATAGATCAAGGCCATAATAGTTAACTCAGCTACCCAAACAAGAACATTATAAAGCTCCACTTCAACATTTATCTGATGTCTTTGAGACTGTATTAACTTTTTGCCTTATAGATTTGTGGTGATTCTCCACCAAAAAAGTATAATATTCTTACAGTATTCTGATGACTTTAAGAAGACAGACAAGCATCACACAAAGGTTAGAGAACGAGCGGTATTTAGTGTATCTGAGGTGGACTACATCAGCAGAATGGCAATGTCTACAGAAAAGGTGATCCTTTCAGGAAACCCATTTGTCCCTTTGAATTCTTGCGTGCTTGTTTTTCTTTGTCTTTGCTGCCTTACACTGAAGTTTCCAGACTTGTTTATGTATGTGTTGTTGTAGGAGTTAGGTGCCTGTTTTCAGAAATAATAAGTTTCTATGGATGTTGCTCAGTTCACTCAAAGACGGATGTGACCTCAAAAACCAGCTATATTTTGGTGTTGGAGATGAGATTTCTAACTTTAGATTTGGAGATACTGGTACTTAGAGGCCAGCTCTGAATGCTCTCATATTCCACAGGGATCTGCTCTTGCAGTGTGGTGGGTGCTGAATCAACACCCTTTGAAGTCCATGGAAACTCTCCCACCGACTTCCAAAACAGACTCAGTTGTGCCTGAAATCTACAGCCTATTTTTTTCCATCTCAGTCACCAGCATAGTCTCCCTTCTGGATATCATGTGTATGGAAACTAAATTAGCCACCCAAAAAATTTAACAGACCATTAGACAGAGGTGCAATTTCTGTGACAGTGGAACAAAGGTACCTACACATTTTAGAGAACTTTACAGTGCCAGTCTGCTTTCACTGCTATCCATTTTAATATTAGCTGTGATCAGAAGTACAAGTGCTCTCTACAGGGTACTTTTCATACACTTTTACTGGACTCTGCCTGGCACTTTCACTGATCTCTGCAGCACTTCAGCATGTTCTCTTTTTATAGATGTATCAGAAATCTCACTCCCTTAATATATGGCATACAGATAGATGGATGCACCTGCACGAACCCTGTTGCATCAGTGTGCGTTCGTACAGCACTCAGGCATGAATTACAAGTAAAAAGAGTGGGGCTTGACATGAATAAAAGTACCTTGTCATATTGTGCATGAGATGATCTTTAGTGAATTTATCTGACCATTATTTTCCAAAGCATGAACACCAGTGTGAGCTTTGTTGATTACCAACTGTTAAGCACGCTATCATGAAGTTTATGTGCACCTACAGTTTCAGTTTTTAAATATAGCTTCCAAGAGTGTAAGTAAAAATGTTGGAGGACCTAGAAGAAAATCTTTGCTTGGGGACTTTAGTGTCTTTTGGCTCATAAAGTAACATTGGTGTGCTATGCGTCTACAACTGGTTGTACAGCTTAGAGCAGGGCTGGAAAGTCTCAGAATAAATCCATGAAGTGCTTAAAGGGGGGGACAGGGAAGGTGGGGAGGGGCTCTTTGTCGGGGGGGGGTGGGGATAGGATGAGGGGTGATGGTTTTAAAATGACAGAGGGGAGATTTAGATGAGATCTAAGGCAGAAATTGTTCCCTGTGCTGGGGGGCGAGGCGCTGGCCCAGGGTGCCCAGAGCAGCTGTGGGTGCCCCCTCCCTGGAAGGGTTCAAGGCCAGGTTGGACGGGGCTGGGAGCCCCCTGGGCTGGGGGAAGGGGGCCCTGCCCGGGGCAGGGGGGGCACTGGGGGGGGGCTTTGAGGTCCTTCCCAACCCAACCCATTCTGTGATTCCATGATTCTGTGAACCGAATGTTTTCTGCATCTCCTTGACTCATGAAAAGTCACATTGCTGCTCACAAAGGTGCAGAAGTTGAATAAAGCATCACTTAGGTAACATGAATCTAATCCATTGCCTGATTTTGGTTGGTCATTCTGATACCTACCGGGAGCTGCAAAACACTTTGAAGGGCATCCCAGTGGGGTTGCTCCTTAATGGATTTACAAGGAGCTCTTCTGATTCTTCAAACACACTGCAGAGGGTAATCAAGACAGGTACAGGCTCCCTTACCTATTGCCACTTCTGTTCATTTTCTATCAGCATGGTCTTCCCTGGCTGTGCACTCAGTATGATCTGAATACAGCCATCAAAATCTGGATCAAGGCACCGTTTGAATTAGATTGCTTTGTCATAGTGGAAGGAAAGATTCTTGGGAAGTTGCTCCATCCTCTACAGCTAGTTGCTTTGGATGAAACTTTTGTTATTGTTAAAAAAAATGTGTATCTTTCTAGTTACCTTCTTTAAGCTTTCACTTAAAAAAAGACATCTTGGGGCAAAGGTGAAGACCACAGAGCTTAGCTTGAAATCTAAAGGCTTGAAAATAAAGGCTAGAAAAATTTGAATACTTAAATATAGCAGCTTAAAATGGAAACTGGTACACCTCCTTAGCCATGGTTATTTTCTGTATTAATCTACCTGTCTGCAAAACAGGGGGAGACTGACACTTTACTAGTTTTAAGTAATTTTCACTGTCAATGAAGGGGATGATTTTAACAAAATAATTATTTCCATGATAATATTAATAATAATGTCAGAAAAATTAATGCTGCCAAGTACTAAGGAATGCGTGAAACAAATAGAGGTCAGGATCAGGAACACTGAAATGTGAATATTCAATTAACAATAATAGAAAAGATGTGGGGCATGGTATGTAAATGAAGGCTGCCTGGGGCCAAATGTTCTCAATAGCGAAGCCAACAAGATATTAAAAACACCCCACACTACTTTGTTTCTCAGCTCAGGAGCAAATCCATGTCGAAAATATGTTTATCTGTTCTAACAGCAAAAACAAACAGATTCCATAATGTATGTATTAAGAGGATGCATAACTTGCACAACATTCATGGCTGGGAGAATGTGACTACATGTAGTAAGTGCTGTGGAAGGGGAGGGGGAAAAAAGGAAAAGTGGTAAGAAGGACAGATGCTTGAGGAGAAAAAACTTGCTAACCAGAGATTTTTACATGGACCACAGCATCCCATGTCCCACATGCTGATTTCTTGAGCAGACCTGTTGCCAAGATAAATTTTTTCTTGGACTCTAGAATTTATAGGATGTGCTTGGCTTGCATCAAGAACACAGCAGTTCCTTCCCCACACAAACAGCTCTATCTAGCTAGGCTAGATATAAACAGAAAGTCTGCTTCACTAATTATTTATACAAAGACAAAGATAGCTGCATTCTGGAAGATTCGTAGGAACTGTTGGGTGTTTTTTGCGTGTTTTTTTTTTTTTTTTTTTTTTTTGTCTTACTGTGTTTTTGACTTTCAGGTCTGTCAGACTACCGAAAGCCATCTAGACCTTCATCCACAGGAAGGTAATTCACAAGTTTACTGCTCTTATTCATACAGTAAATATTTTTTTTTTTTTTTTTTCTTTCCTTTTAGAGTATTGATACTGTTTATTTATTAGTAAAGTATTTATATAAAGCAGAATCTTTACCTGGATGAGCAGTTTCTCTTTCTACCTGTCCCTCTGGCTTTAGAGACTACTTGTGTGAGCAAAGAGTACTCCAGAGCTACCAGAACTGACCTCACTGTAAATGTTTGCATTATGAGAAGAAGATTCTTACATGTCCTGGAAATTCACTATACTGGCGTGTTTCAGCAAACAGTGGCTTTTTCAAATCAATATGACTACTCTTATGAGTCAAGTGAAACTCATTCATAAGTGTTTTCAGATTCACTCCAACTTTTTTTTTAAATTATACTCCATCTTATTTCCCACTTCTTCCCCACTTTTAGACCAAGGAGTTGAAATACTGAAAAAGACTTAGCAAGGGGAGTAAGAAGAAAATAATTTTCCGAGTGTTTCACATACTGTTATCCGTGTCCTCTCACTTGTGCATGAAATGCAGCTGAAATATAGATTATATAAAATAAGTTCCTAGCAGTTTACAGCCAAACCACAGTGAAAGAAGGTGAGAGAAGAAACAATAATGCAGCTAGTGGAAAAAGAAGCAGCATTTTGGACAAGCAGGATACTGTTGAGCTGCAGTCACCTAGGTCCGTAAACTGAACCTTGAAAGTAGTTTTGCTCTATTTTAAGCACATTTTAAGGGCCTGTGGGATTGGATCTCAGTTTAGGCTCTGGGATTAGCATTCCTCTTGTGCAAAGTACCATGGAATTTTAATGAATACAAGTAGCCAGAATTTCTGCTGTCCCCCAGAGATTTGTTTATTTACTAATACAGAGACTTGTTTAACATCTTACTTCAGTGGTGCATCTGTACCAGCACCGTACTGACGCAATGGTTAAAAATCTGACACTGAGAAAAGAGTGACGTCTGTGAGTCTTATATAGTCCTAGACACACACATAAATGATCTCTGAAAATACTGTTCCCAGCTTAGATAATGAGAAATTAAAAAATTACAATGGAAACAAGTATATGTCATCAGAGACCAGTCCAGTTTGCTGTGGGAGCTTACTACGTTTAAAATAAAAGGCAAAATTAAGATACTATTTGAGTTTCTGTTGTAAATGTATGAGTACTTTTCCTTAGGACATGGATGTCTCTAGGACCTGATTAGCTTAGCACCTGGTTTGGTCAAATACAGTTTTCATAGTGAAGTAACTCATCAGGCCCTTTACCCCAGGTCCTCAAGGGGAGTTTGCGTATTTAACTTAATTTGTCAGAATTAAACAGCCACTTTTCAAGGCCTGTATCTCAGCTGTGTCTTTTCTTTTTTTCAGGTTTTCTGAATTCTTTTCCCCTTTAAAAATCTTCCTCTAGAGTCGCAGAGACCTATCAGCAGCACAAGTGAGGGGAGCCGGGTAAGAAGCTTTCTGAAGTCCTTGGTCTTTTAATGACTACCCAAAAAGCTTCATCTAGCCTGAGAATCAAGATGTTTGGCCCAAGAATCTTGCTAGGTCCAAAACTTCATGTAAGTGGTCTATATGGTTTAAGAGGGATGATGAAGAAAGTTGTTTTTAACTTTAAGATGAGGCATTGTGAGTTGTGTTGTAGATGCTCTGGGACAAAGTTTTAAACCTTTCATTGATATTTGCTTTTGCAAAAATTAAGTAGCTGCCTATATGAAATCTGGTCACACAGTCCTGAAAATCTGGCTGTATTTTTTTCTCTTAAACAGAACCAGACAATAATACGCAACATGCTCATTTTTATTTTAGTAATACGAAATATTTTGGATATTAGCTGCTTCTTAAAATGAATAGAAAGTTCAGCGAATACCAGGAAAGCCAGTAACTTCAAACAAAAGTAAAAAATAACACCTCACCGAAACTCCCTGATCTTCCCAGAACATTTTATACGGTTTCTAAAGCTTAGCTGCACTCTGAACCATCCTCTGGTTCAGTTTCTGGAGCTACAAATATCTATTCTCTATTACTTAATTTGTCTTATAACGTCACAGGTAAAAGTAAATGGTTATTTGTTAAATTTTCATCTTCTTGAAAAAGGTATAAGTTTTTGTTATGATTTAAAAGAGTCACTTAAAAAAAAAGAAAAAAATATAGACTTTTGGAGCAAAGCCAAGCTTTGGTAAAATCTGGCTAGATAATATATTCTCTTTATGATAAATTCAGCAGAGTGAATATTCATAGCTGAAGTTTTGTTCCCTGAAATATATAATTTATAATAGAAGTGAGACTGTGTTCTTAACAGCCTATATGAGGTGATTTTTTTCTTTTTTTAAAGCAACTATCTAATTACCTTTTAAGTCAATTACTCTGCTTGTTCTCCCAGTGACTCTGCTCTCCCCAAAATGTATCGGTTGAGTATCGTATCATTATTTCCCAAACAATAAAATAAAAACTACAACAAATCAATAACAAAGATCACATGAGCAGATTTTAATCTTCTGCATAGTTCACCATACATTCAAGATAGTGATCTTGTTGGCATAGGGCCTGATATTTTTAATAGAGCTTTTTTAGTTAATAAAGTCAGTAGCAGTAGAGCCTTGGAATTGGTAGCAAAAAGTCAACTGCACATTTGAATACTTAATTTTGTGGCTATAAACAGCCACGTCACATTTCCAGCACCAACAATGGGGTGGTTTTCAGCACTGCTCTACCAAGCAAGCATGTTTTCTATTTTCTTCTTGTATATACAATTAAAAGCATTCCCACTAGAGTGCTCTGCCCTGCATTCACTTCTGAAACAGAGCATGAAAGATGTCTCTCAAAAGTCAAAATCCTGCCTTTCCTTGGGCCAAATAATGAAAGAACAGCCCAGCAGTGCACTGTTACTTCTAAGGCTTCTATTAAAAGTTTGAACTTGCTGACTAATTGTCAATACTTGCCCCAGTGTGTAATTATTAAGGAGATCCCCAGTCATGAGAAAAGTCTTTTTCTCTTCTATGTGGAAAGGTGAGTTTACCTTTTATCAGGCCAGAGATTAGGAATTGTACACATGGAGTATAAGCAGGTTCTTGTCTTGCTCTAGGGGATATCCACCAGTGCCTGTGTTCTTGTTGAGTAATAATGAGATACCATAACCAAACAGTAGAAGATGCATGTCAGATGGTTCTCCAATAACATTAGAAAAAAAGCAGCTGATGTATGGGATATTGAAGGCAGATTAAGTTGTTAATGTATATTAGTATATTCTTAATTTCCTTTTAATTGAAAAAGACATATTGACTTTAATTAGAACCATTTCACAGGAACTGTCAATTAGCACATGTCAAACTAGTTAATTCAGAACAGAATTCTTTTAATTAGGGTCTGCTTTCCTTTAACTGTGGGGCCAATGAAATCAGCCTTTCCTTATCAAGATTTTAAATGTCTCTAAGACATACAATACAAATGTAGTCTCTTATCTATTATTAGAAGCCCATATGGATAACATTAAAATGATGATGCTGGCATTGTTCATGCAGCACAAATCAGAGTTTCCTTTATGACTGTTTGAAAAAAAAAAAAAAAAAAGAAAAAGATGGCTTTGAAGAAAGACTATTTTAAATACACAGATTTATCTTACTTTAAAGAGACTACAAAATTTATGACACGCATGTTCACATTTAAAGTATTATTTAATACGTCTGCTCAAATAAATGGGCCTATTCAAACGTTTTGTGTGTTCTATCAGCCAAAGACACATAAAACATTTTCAAAGCATGCAGTAACATTCTTCCCTTAAATGAACTGTAATCAAAAGGAGAAAACAGACTCGATGATTTTTTTGGGACAATATAAAACCAGCATTGTTAACTTTCATTGCATGTGAAGATTTAACACTGATTGCTAATCCACTGGCTGCAAACACCAGTGAGCTAATGTCATCTCAGTTATCAAACAGCGTATAATCCCAGTCTTGACTTTTGCATACTTTTTCGGAATATGTGTGAGTTTGCTGATGGATCTCGACTCATGGCTGACACGCTGGTGTCAAGACCTTTCCCGTGGTTTCTGGGAGCTGCCGTGTGTAACACCTGTAATGCTGGTCACATCCTTTCAGGAGGAGGATCAGCTGAGAAAAAACGTAATAAAAAATATAAAAGGAATGATTGCAAAATCTAGATTTAGTTTTATCATAGGAGGTTTAACCACTGTTTTACTGACCTATATCAACAGAGGATTACAGAGATTAGCAAAAGGAATACTTAATAACTGAACTGTGGATTCCAGAGAGGATTATCTGGTAAGATATTTCATGTATCCTGATGCTTTGTTGAATGTATTAGGGACCTGATTATGGGCCTGAGTAACTCAACAATGAAAGACGCATCATTTCCCCAAATGAAGTGCAACCAGGATGCATTAAAATCTAACGTGTCCTAGAAGTATGATTTGCCTAGGATCCTAACCACACCATTTTTTTACCCCCAGGGACAACTCTCTGGTGTGTGGTGGGTAGTATAATTTTAAGAACACTGTGTGCTAAAATGTGTGTTAATGTTTCCACAAAACTTTGGAAAGTGGATGAACTTTAACCAGATGATCTGAAAAACTGAAAAAATTTGTTCTGGGAGTTCTTCAGCGCAAGCAAGAGGGTCTGTAGACATGTCACTTCACTGCCCACTGTATGAAGGGTACCCTGAGTACAAGTAACCACTATGGTTCTACTTTTAAATGTGATAGTAAATAGGTAACGTAAGACCCTGATATTTATTCATTAATGCTATTGTGGCCCATATTAAATCTCTGCTTATCAGTTTAAATGCTTACCATAATTTAGAACTCTTTAAGCAGATCTAAGTCACTTTAGCACTGAGTTGCATAATCCGACTTCTTTTATAACACAGCAGAAACAATGCTTTGGATTTTGATCATATTGCTCAACCAGCAATATATTGTTTGTTTCAAAACAACAATTAGCAATAACTTTTCTTTTAAAATCATCCCCACATTGGCTGTACATAGGAAGTATGGGTATGTTCACCACCAGGGTGATAATACTTCAGGTGACTGCCTGTATGCTCACACTTTATATTAAGCTGAACTTCAAACTATAGGAATATTTGACCAGTTTAAACTATAGGAGATTTTCAGATTATGGTGAAATTTTTAGTCATTGAAGTCTCCCAGTCATGTGAATAATAATTTACCTAAACCATATGATGTCTGGAACAACGGAAAAAACAACTGTGTGGAGGGAAAGTAGCTTACCCAAGCCCCAAACCGAGTCAGTTAGAAGTGTAATTAAAAGCAGAAGATCCTCATTCCCTGAAGCTGCATGATACTCCCTGCAAATACACCAACGCACCTCTTGGTGCAGCCCACTGTGTGCCGTACCCTTAAAGCAGGGCAAAGCATTTTTTTTCCTAATTAATACTAAGGCGATTCATTGCTTAGCAGCAGCACTAATATTTACACACTTATGGATCTCATGATTAAGTAGCAAGCTTTGACTTCAATTAAACCTGACAGTTTCTGATAGCAAAAAGTCATTACAGAACTTCAAAAGCACTTGAACTGCAGCAAGATCTTTACAATTATCAATATAATATCTTTCAGCCCCTGTTGGCTCCTTGATCTTCTGTGGCAGGCCCAACTTCTCTGTCAACTTTGGTCTGTGAGATGTTGAACCTTAAAGCATGCTATTTAAAAAAATATATATGAAAATGCTGCCATATACAATGGATTTCACCCGGTCTGACATTCTTTTTGGGTTAAGTGCTTAATAAAAATTGCCCATGTGAATCATGTACTGTTCATGTATTGTTCATGAATCAAACCAAGAGCCATTTCAAAATGAGTAGCATTAGGGAAACGTAATAGCTTTTAAACAGATTATTTAAATGACTGTAGCGCTGATTTCCAGTCATTTTATCCAAACAGCTATGGCAGAACTATCCCTGAAAAGGGAGTAACTTTCTGATTAAACTCTTTTGTTGTTGGATTTAAGAAATATTTTAGAAGAGAGAATTTCTCAATTATGTATTCATCTTTCAGAGCCTGGGCATGGAGGGTGTAACAGTTTGATCAAACCCAGCTGAAAGCACTTATGGTTTGGAGGATTCATTCTGTTCTTACAATCAGGGTGAAGAAAGCCTTTAAATACATTCAGAGCAAAACAGACAGTTTGTTCAGACTGACCAGCACGTAAAAGTCTGCCACGGTAGTTTCTGGTCTCTTCAGCTTGGCTTGCCTGGCACTTTTGTAGCATGATGTGACAGCGATCGAGCAGTGCATTTGTGTATTTTTGCGGCAAGATTATCAACTCATTTGATTCCTTGATTTTTGATTTTCTGGCTGTAGGCGTCCCGGTGTAATTGAAACCAGCAAATACCCTCAGCTGCTCATGTGCTGTTGGCTCCTTGGCCCGACATCGTCAGTGGCGGAACTCTCCGTCCCTTCCTCCTTTTCCAAGGAGGTTTTTAAATCGTGACAGTTGTGGTCGTGTTAAACCACTACAGCAACCTGTTTGCAGCACCAAAAGGCAGAGCCACCTCCCTTTACGCTGGGAAGGTTCCTTACT